GCTTCCTTGGCCCCTTGTACCTATACAGTTATGACATGGACTGCAGCAAAAACTCCTATTGAAGAGGGATACCTGACACTGCTCTGCTGTGTTTCCTGTCTTACATTCTTCTGAGTAGACTGGCTCCAAGTGTGGCCTCTGTTTGCCTCTGAAAATGAATATTCAGTTGAATCTAAGAAAACTCCCCTTAATGGGCACCTCAGGGATACATTGCTGCCCAAACCATAATGCCAAAGCAGTGAGGGGAAGGGAAAGATACCCCAAACTCTTCTTCTTCCTGCACTCCAATCTCCTAACACTCCTCCCCTCTCATTGACTAAACCTAACCACAAGACAGAGGTCAAGGAGAAAGAGTAATTGTCCCAGCTTACATCAGATGTTCATGACAGTTTCTCATTCTTGTCTCGGTGGGCATTTGGCTCTGTGCATGAAGCTGTTCTGAACATTCGTATACAAAGTTTGAGTCATACATTTTCATTTCTCTTGGATAGATTCACAGGAGTGGAACTTCTGAGTCATAGGATAGACAAGCGTTTAACTTTTCTTTTTTTCATTTTTATTTCTTTTTATTAAGACTAAGAAAATGAAATAAATAGGAAACATTGACACCCAGGAACATGAAGGCTTTGGCTGGTTTTTTTTTTTTTTTTTTTTTATCTTTTTTGGAGTATAATTGCTTTACAATGTTATGTTAGTTTCTGCTGTATAACAAAGTGAATCAGCTCTCTGTATACATATATCCCCATATCTCCTCCCTCTTGCGTCTCCTCCCACCCTCCTTAGCCCACCCGCTAGGTGGTCACAAAGCACAGAGCTGATCTCCCTGTGCTGTGCGGCTGCTTCCCACTAGCTATCTAATTTACATTTGGTAGTGTATATATGGCCATGCCACTCCCTTACTTCGTCCCAGCTTACCCTTCCCACTCCCCGTGTCCTCAAGTCCATTCTCTATGTCTGCGTCTTTATTCCTGTCCTGCCCCTAGGTTCTTCAGAACCATTTTTTTTTTTAGATTCCATATATATGTGTTAGCATATGGTATTTGTTTTTCTCTTTCTGACTTACTTCACTCTGTTTGACAGACTCTAGGTCCATCCACCTCACTACAAATAACTCAATTTCATTTCTTTTTTATGGCTGAGTAATATTCCATTGCATGTATGTGCCACATCTTCTTTATCCATTCATCTGTCAGTGGACACTTAGGATGCTTCCATGTCCTGGCTATTGTAAATAGAGCTGCAATGAACACTGTGGTACATGACTCTGTTTGAGTTATGGTTTTCTCCGGGTATATGCCCAGTCGTGGGATCACTGGGTCGTATGGTAGTTCTAGCTTTAGATTTTTAAAGAACTTCCAAACTGTTCTCTATAGTGGCTGTATCAATTTACGTTCCCACCAACAGTGCAAGAGGGTTCCCTTTTCTCCACACCCTCTCCAGCATTTATTGTCTGTAGATTTTTTGATGATGGCCATTCTGACTGGTGTGAGGTGATACCTCATTGTGGTTTTGATTTGCATTTCTCTAATGATTAGTGATGTTGAGCATCCTTTCATGTGTTTGTTGGCCATCTGTATATCTTCTTTGGTGAAATGTCTATTTAGGTCTTCTGCCCATTTTTGGATTGGGTTGTTTGTTTTTTTTGATATTGAGCTGCACGAACAACATTTAACTTTTTGAGAAACTGTCAAACAGTTTTCCAAAGTGGTTGTGCCATTGTATACTGACACCAACAACGTGTGAGAGTTTGCTTTTTCTATACTTCTCCAACGTTTAGTTTTAACAAACATTTTCATGTGGGTCATTCTAGTGGCTAGTGATACCTCATTGGGATTTTAATTTGCATTTCCCTGATGACTTAATGATGTTGAGGACTTTTTCATGTGCTTATTTATCACTTATGTTATCTTCTTTTATAAAATATCAGTTCAAGTCATTTTAGAACTGGATTTTTAAATATTATTGATTCTTAGTGAACTAAGTGAACTGTGTGAACTTAGTGAACTGTGTGAGTTCCTTGTATATACTGGTTACGAGTCCTGTGTCAGATTTGTGTGCTATATTTTTCTCTCTGTCTGTGGCTTTTCTATTTTCTTAGTGGTGGCTTTGGTTAAGTAAAATTAAAAAATATTGATGAAGTCTGGTTTACACATTTTTTCTTTCTGTTTTTCTTTTTTGTGCCTAGCCAATGATTTCAAAGACCATAGTTGTAGATTATTTAAAATGTCCTTTTTTTAAAAAAAAGATTTCTATTTAAAAATGAAATACAATTTGAGTGTTTTTCAGGTCACTATATTCCATAGACAGAATGTGTGCTTACCAAATTCATATGTTGGAATTTAATCCCCAGTGTGATTGTGTTTGGAGGGGAGGCCTTTGGGAGTAATTTGGTCATGGGGATGGAGTCCTCATAAATGTGTTAAGTGCCCTTATAAAAGAGACCTAGAGAGTTTCTTTGTCCTTTTTATTATGTGAGGACAGAGCCAGAAGATGGCCATTTAGGAACTAGGAAGCAGGCCTTCACTAGATACAGAATCAGCCTGAGCCTTGATCTTGGACTTCCAAGCCTTCAGAACTGTCAGAAATACATGTCTGTTGTTTATAAGCCACCCAGTCTGTGGTATTCTGTAATAGCAGCTCAGACAGACTGAGACAATGTGTATCCTACTTCAAAGTGGGCCATAAAATACTGGATGCTTAGAGCTGCAAGGAGACCTTGATACCATCTATTCCGGACTCCTCCCTAACATTAGATTTCCTTCTTAAAGATATTGCCGATCATAATTCACCCTCTGGTTGCTTCTAGAGATTGAGGGCTACAGAAGTGAGTCCCCTTTTGGGGAAAATAAGATGTAAAAGAGTCACTTCTTGAAATTGAGATGCTCTTTTAATAGTCTCCTCAGTAGAATTTTATACAAAATGAATTTCATTGGTGTGATCGCTGAGAACCTAAATTACAGTCTGTTGGCCAGTGCTTATCCAGCTTCAGGATTGTAGTTTGTGTTGGGATACAGAGTGGGACCAGTCTGGGTCCATGTCTGGGCCGTGACAGTGTGGTAAGTCCAGTGAGGGAACTTGCGGCACGACTGCAGAATAATTGCCCTTCCTGGGTATGTCAGGGAATATTTTATAGTGAAAACGTGTTTGTGCTGAGCTCAAAAAGAGTAGGAATCTCTATGAGGAGTTGGAAGGAGGAGGCATAGAGGGTGGAGAACTAGCAGTGGTGAATATTGCCGAAGCTTTGGGTCAGAGACCCAGGTAATGGGAGATGAGCCTGAAGGGCTGAGAACTTTGCACTTTAAATTGATAGTTCTCAAATTTTCGAGCAGTTGTGCTTCAGGTGGTCAGTCCTCACTCCTTACCTATTGAGTCAGAGTCTCCAGGGTGGAGGCTGGGCCTTTGAATATTTTCACAGACTCTGTATGTGAGACTGAAGCCCACTGGAGTTTGAAAACTACTAGTTGAAGTGAAGAAGCAGTGAGAAAGAGAGAAGGGCCTTGATTAAAGATGTATTAAAAGTGAAACGGTGCCTATTCTTGATCAACTCTATGTAAGGAATGAGAATGTGGGAGGATTCTGCTTAAGCAACTTTAAAAATGTCATTTATACCAGTTACCTCATAGCAACAGAGTAGGAAATCTGTGGAGGGAATGTAGGAAGTTTAGTTATAGATACAGGGCCAGCTTACTGTCAAGAAATACCCATTTAAATCACCTAGAAACAATACTAACTTTGGGAGGATATGGTTCTGTCAATTCAAATATTGCTGATAATAATGAGATGCTTTCCTTATATAGTGCTTATTCTTTTCAAAGGACATATTCAGCTCATTTTAAAAAAATTAATTAATTAATTTGGCTGCGTTGGGTCTCCATTGCTGCACGCAGGCTTTCTCTAGTTCCAGCGAATGGGGGCTACTCTTCGTTGTGGTGCGCGGGCTTCTCATTGCGGTGGCTTCTCTTGTTGTGGAGCATGAGCTCTAGGCATGCGGGCTTCAGTAGTTGTGGCACGTGGGCTCAGTAGTTGCGGCTTGCAGGCTCTAGAGCGCAGGCTCAGTAGTTGTGGCACGCGGGCTTAGTTGCTCCACGGCATGTGAGACCTTCCAGGACCAGGGCTCGAACCTGTGTCCCCTGCATTGGCAGGCGGATCCTTAACCACTGTGCCACCAGGGAAGTCCCTCATATTTGTTAGGTACTAAGATTTGCTGCAGGGCTTCCCTGGTGGCGCAGTGGTTGAGAGTCTGCCTGCCGATGCAGGGGACACGGGTTCGTGCCCTGGTCTGGGAAGATCCCACATGCCGTGGAGCTGCTGGGCCCGTGAGCCATGGCCACTGAGCCTGCGCGTCCGGAGCCTGTGCTCTGCAACGGGAGAGGCCACAACAGTGAGAGGCCCGTGTACCGCAAACAAAGAAACAACAAAAAAAGATTTGCTGCATGCCTGCGATGTACTGTGATGACTTTTGGGCTAGATATTATTATTATCATTTTGCTGATGAAACTGAAGTTCAGAGAGGTTCATTGATTCCCCTAAGGCCATCTCAGTCAGGAGCCAGGTAGAGCCAGGGTTCAAAACTCCTGACTTTACCAAGCTCAGTTCTCTTTTCACTGTTACATAGCTGCCTCTCATAACATAGATGGGCATGTTTTTATTTTATTTTATTTTATTTATGTATGATGAACTTGAAGTCCAGAAAAACTGATTTGCCCAAGATTCCAAGCTGATAAATACAGAGCAGGGATCAAAGCCGAGGTCCCTGCTTCCCAGCCGCTGCTCTTTTCACTCTAACTTCCTGCTTTCCAGGTGATTGAGTTTATTTCCTTAGTTGTTTAGTATAGTTGGACCTTTTCTCCCTCAAGTAGGAAGAGTTTAGTGAATTATAAATATTGAAGGGAAGAAATATTGTTTGAGAAGCAAAGCCAGCATTCAGGCCTCAGTTACTCTGGAACAATGTGTGATGGTATGGTTTCAGCCTGTGCATGAAATTTGTTTTTTTTATTTAGGAACCTGACCTTAATGGTGATGATAGAAATACAGAAATAACTCCAGGAGAAAAGGTACTTCAGAATACCAAAGAGCAACGGGATCAGCAGAATCGCTTGAGAGAGATAGATGAAAAGCTAAGAAAGATGAAGGAAAATGTGGTAAATCTTTTTTTATTTAAAGTAACCAGTGATTGTGTTAAAAATGTTCCAATTTTCTTTGACTGATTTATGACTGTTTTTATGTGTTACAGCAGGCAAGAAAGCTAACGTGGGTATTTGTCAGTAAGGATTTGAATAAAGGCTAAAAGTAGAACTCTTAGAACTTAAAGTAGTATTATAATTAATTTATATGACATAATAAACCTGTGAAAGGTGATCTGAAGTCAGAATAATCATCCATATGCCTAATATTCTGTCTGAAAGATACATGTTCTTTGTGTGCAAAAATTTGGTAGTTATTCTCTATAAAATCATCTTTATATGTTGGTCTTAAAGCTTAAATACTCCCATTTTTGGCTCATAATTCATAATATATTATTACTCAATATTAATACATTCTAAATCCATCTTGAGCCTATTTCATGTTTTAATTGCTTGCCATTTAAAGACATATTATTGTTGGTGAGAGAAAACTCTCAAATCAACTAAATTGTGAGCTGGTTGATATTCTGAACCCATTAGAAATGCTCTATAATATTATGATTTTCCAGCTACCCAGAGAATGTTTCTAAATTTTGGCTACGTATTTAATTTTGGTGTTTACCTAAAATTAAACATGATGAGGCTGACCTTGTGATTCTACCTACATCCTCTCTTCTTGGGCTGGTCTTATCATAATTGCAGTCCCTACTTTCTGTCTCCTACTAAATCCTCTTCTCTTGTGTGATCTTCAGGCCTCATGACGTTTTAACCAGTACTTCTGATTTGTGGCCATATCTTACCACTGTTCCTTATGACTCTTTGAAGATCTTTTCTTTCTTGTCCCTACTTGTATCACCCTTCTCTCAGCATTGTCACCTCCTGTCCAGCTGCTTATAACCTGGTCACTCTCTTCTCTCATTATTGCGTTTTGTATGCTGCCCCATGAGAGTTAGCATCAGGTAAGTACTTTTGATTAAATTGTGGCCTCCTTAGAGCTTTCTACGAGTGTCCATCATTCCTGACTGAGGTTCTTCACCCCTCATGGTCACGTCCAGCCGAATTGCTCTTCCCACTTGCCAGCCATGGACAACAGCACTGACTCGGACCTAAAGGTTATCTAGGTCTACCTAATGAGAGTCAGGCAACAGATCTAGAGGGAATAAATGCATTGTGCTTCTCTTTATCATTCATTTTTGCTTACTTTTCATGGGAAATTTGATGGAATTATATTTCAGGGAGACCTCTATTCTTATTTTCTCAGCGTTTTTTTTTTTTTTTCTCCTTGAGTGTGATGATATGGGGAAGAAGTAGGAATGGTTAGGAAGTGCATAGGGGTTCTTTGCCCTTGGCCGGTAGTTGTGGGGTGGTTGGTGAGGCATTGAAAACTTGATGTGGTAAATACAATGTTTGTGGTTTGACTGGTTTTGAAAACTGTTGGCACTTTTCATCCCAGACCTACCAATCCCAGGTAGGCAAAGCCGGTCATTCTCCATAATTCAGTTCTCCTCATTTCTGGTCATTTGTCCTATGCCTTGGACATGTATCCATTCTTTTCTACCATGTCTCTATAAATTATTTAATTCTTGACTCGAAAGCTGGGTCCTTTAGAAAATCTTACATTTTATTCCAGTGTCATATGATGGTTGGCTAGACTTAAAGAGATATGATAAATATCAAGAGTTGGTTGTTGTCTAAGTGGAAAAGAATAATATAAATACAGAAAAGCAAAAAAAAAAAAAAAAGTAGAGAACAATTATTATGTATCTACTATGTGCCAGGCACTGTTGCAAATAGTTTACGATTTATTGACTTACCTAATTTTTACAACCACTCTGTGAGGTAAACACTACTATCCTCATTTTATGGATGAGGAAATGGAGACACAGAGAGGTTGAATAACTTCCTCAGGGTTGTACAGCTAGTTGGAGGAAGAGATAGGGGTTAAATGATTAGCTTTTAACAGCCATGCTATACTGCCTTTCTGGTACTTACTGGCTTTTCTTTTCTGATTAATATTGTCTTTTCGTTAAAGTGTGGTAAATTTGTTATAACCAGTAATATTCATTGGAAAATGTTTGGAATCCCTTGTATAAATGATAATTCCACATTTTTGTGTGTCAGCACTTTCAGAAACTGGTATCTGGTAGATACAGGCCCATGAGTAATGATCTGTATTGTCTTTATGTTTTAATTGCTTATTGTTTCATAATGGCCTATGGAATAGACTGTGTACTGTGTGTGTACTTTTGAGGGACGATCCTGTGTCTGCTTCAAACTCTGTAAAGCCCTTTGTACCTCATAGAATTCTAGGTACTTTGTGGATGGGAAATCTGGAGACTCCAGTTTTTGTTTCAATGATGTCAGTAGCCTGCTCTGTTACCTTGACTAAGTCACTCAGTCTCTTAGACACTTAGTTTTATAACTTTGAAATCAAGGAATTGAGGCTAGATGACCTCTGTCCTTTTGCTTGTGATTCTTGGCGTACTTATTTTTGGTGAGAGATGGTGTTACTTATAGTATCTAAGGCTCAGTTTGTGTGCTTCCTAAATATTTAGTATTAATTGGTTTAAATCTTCTGTTGAAAGTTACTTTTGGAAATTTAGTAACACTTTTCAGGAGAATATGACATTGTCTTTTATATATATAGAAAAGTTAGCCTGTTGCCTACAGACCAAAGACTATGTTTTCTGAACGATATAGCTTCTAGAAACGGCTAATTTTGTCTTATTCTCCCTATTGCAATGGAGCATTGTTTCCAGATCAATGATTTGGGTGAAAGAAGTAATCTGTGGCCATTGAATTGGTGATTAAAGGCTCAAATCTAAATACAACTACTCTTAGGGATAGAAGGAGGAAAGAGTGAGCTAAGGGGCAATGCAGGAGCCCTGTGGGATGCTCCTGGAGCCACCTGGATCCCAGGATTGATTTGTGAGTAAAGGCTGGAAAAGTGACTTAATCCTATGTTTCCGATGGTAGCCTGAGGCTGTGGATGCACATTTGCATTGGTCAAGATTGGTGGAAGAAGTGGGATTTGATTTAATCTGGAGGTGGTGGTGGTATTGGTATCAGTGGATCCTGCTTTCAGGAGCTAGGAGAAGTAGGCACACTGAAATGCGGGTGAGGCTCAAAATATACTATGAAATTCAGTGGGCATGCAGGGGCCTGAGCACCAGCTGCATGAGTAGAGGCAGAATGAGTAATGGCTACTAGAAGCAGCATATGTGAAACAAATCTTTTGGGTTCACTCAGAATGAGTCAGAACTATAATGTAGCTGCTGTGCTACACATGAAGGAAGAGGTGAGCAAAGCTGATCATACTTGGATAGGAGAGGGACAAGGATAAAGAAGGTATGAAAACCAGCTCATGTGAAGGGTTGTTGAGGAGGCTGAGTGTGTTTATTCAGCCTGGTGAAGAAAGGACATTGCGTGTGTGTATGTGTGAGAGTGTGTGTGTAAGAGTGTGTGTGTGTGTGTGTGTGTGTGTGTGTGTGTTGTGGGAAAGGAGGGGATGGATGGTTTGGTAGAAAAATCACTCATGAAAACTTCCTGAAGAGATTTGAAGGACTAACATTTGAAGCATTATTTTTATTCTTTATACTATAGGGAAAAAAGCGTGGTGATTGGGAAGCCACAAAGCAACAGATTTCTGCTAAATACTAAGGAAGAAAGTTAGAATGATCTCAGTGGGAGTGATCTTTCAGGGGCAAGGATTTCAAATTAGGCTGGAGTGACACTTGCTAGGTAGCTGTAGGGAGGGTTTAAGTATTAAGTCCCATTCCTGGGCATATGTCTGCAAAAGATGAAAACTCTAATTTGAAAAGATACACGCACCCCAATGTTCATAGCGCACTATTTACAATAGCCAAGACATGAAAGCAGCTTAAATGTCCATCAACAGATGAATAGGTAAAGAAGATGCAGTACACATATACAATGGAATATTACTCAGCTGTGGAAAAGAATGAAATAATGCCATTTGGAGCAGTATGGATGGACCTAGAGATTATCATCCTAAATAAGTATTAGTCAGAAGTAATATTAGTTAATATTAATTTGTAATGTTAGTAATTAAGAAGTATTAGTCTGAAGTAAGTCAGACAGAAAGACAAATATCATATGATATTACTTACATGTGGAATCTAAAAAATGATATGAAGGAACTTATTTACAAAACAGAACTAGACTCACAGACAGAGAAAACAAACTATGGGGAAAGGGAGGGGGGAGGGAGGCATAAATTAGGAGTTTGGGATTAACATATACACACTACTATATATAAAATAGAGAAACAACAAGGACCTACTGTATAGCGCAGGGAACTATATTCAGTATCTTGTAATAAGCTATAATGGAAAAGAATATGAAAAAGAATATATATATATATATATGAATCATTTTGTTGTACACCTGAAACTAACACAACATTGTAAATCAGCTATACTCCAATAATAAAAAAAAAGTGGCTGGATGGTAGGTCAGTTTCTCCAGCACAAGTAGGCAGCTTGTGTATGGTGAGCATGTGAAGGTGCTGTGCTTTGAGCTGTTTTTCACATGTTGGGGGAGGATTTGTCTGAGCCATTCACCTCTCACCTAGTTGGTTCCCATGGGGTTAGGAGTATTGGCTTTGACCATGATCTGTCAGGCTAACTACTTGTGTGGAGATAATTTGAGATAATAGAATTAGGAGAAAATGGAAGTAGCCATATTCATAGAGTAGGCAACAAACCCCACAAATACCCTCTCCATCATTTGCCATACAGTACCATCTGGTACCTCTAATCCCATCTAGCTCTGAGAGTCACTTTCCCTTGTTTTGGTGCTCTATAGGCTTCTCTGCCCACTCAGTCTTCTAACCCCACTCTGCTTTTTATTACCTCCCTGGGTTATAGTTCCGTTATGTAAGCTTCTATACATGGGACATAGTGGTTAAGAGCCAAACTGCTTGGGTTTGAATCTCAACTCTGTACTTACTCTCTGTGTGACCTTGGGCAGGTCTCCTGACCTCTCTGTGCTTCAGT